AATAATATCCCCATTCTCAAGGGTGTGAAGAAATCTTGGTTTAAATGCTATAACTTTTTCATTTCTCAAATGCCTCCAAATTTTTGATTTTGGAATGCTGAGATCAAGAGAGGACTGTCTAAGACTACTTGTCGGATTATCATTGAAATAATTTGAAATATCTCTATTATCATTTCTTTGCCGCCCACGTCCCCTTCTTTTTGAATTCAGCACAGTTCCCAAGTTATTGAACATTCTACTAATCCGACTCACCGTCGTGTGGTTGATGGGATCTTGATCTTGATGTCTCCTATTGAATTCAAGAGCTGCTGCTGCTCTTGATGAACCGGTATCGTCACCAATTATTTTAATGATCTCTATTCTTTCCAAGAGAGTGCATTGGCATGGCTCTACAAACACTTTGATAAAAACCTGCTCATTCAACAACAATCGTTATCTGTCAAGTTATTTGAAAATGTGAATATCGCGTAATTTCTATAGCCATCCTGACGGCTATTGGAAAAAAGCTATTTGCGTTAGCCTCCCTTATTTTTTATGCCTGAGCGAAAGATAGTTGGAGAAAGATAATTAAAATTTGCGTTTCCACGGCAGACTCGATCATCATTTTGTGATAATTGACAATTGGTGTAAAGAGGAGGAACTCACCGTAAACCCTCATAAAACTACTATAGTGAATTTCACGAAAAAGAGAGTACTGAAGGGATTTAAGTCACTAGTACTCAACGGGGTAGAAATTCCGTTCGCCCTAGAGGCAAAATACTTAGGAGTCATCTTTGACCATAAGTTAACATGGAATCAACACCTACAAAAAATTGTTCAAGAAAGTACAGTAGCCTTCCATCTGTGCATGCAGACGAATGTGCGGAAAAAATTGGGGACTGCAACCAAAAATGACCACATGGCTCTCTGCCAGCGTCATCAGGCATACGATAGCATATGGGTCAGTAGTTTGGTGGCCAAAGACACAACAGGCTGGAGTGATTCGAAGGCTCAGTGCTATTCAAAGGCAAGCGTGCCTGAGTGCCACTGGTGCAATGAAAACCACTCCAACAGCCGCTCTTGAACCAACCACCACTACAAATATATATTCAAGTCGAAGCCAGAGCAGTCGTGAGTAGATTGTCAAGGGGTGAAGCACCCATAAGCAACGCGCACGGTAAAGACTACAGGAAGCTATATGAAGAGTTGGAAAGCGACCCCATCATGGGGATGCAAACGGATGGCATAATTCCAAAATATAGCTTTGAAAAAACTTTTAAAATAAGTATAACGGACAGAGAGGCATGGAAGGAAGGACCTCCTATCAATGCAGACATTGCTGTCTATACGGACGGCTCCAAAACTGATGAAGGATCAGTAGCTGGGGCCAAGCCAAAGACAAGAATCTCACTGATCTTAGGCAAATACGCGACGGTGTTTCAGGCAGAAATTATTGCAATACATCATTGCGTGAAAGAATTGATAAGGCAAGAGTTTATAGGCAAAACCATTGCAATCTATTCAGATAGCCAGGCGGCAATCAAAGCAGTCAACTCTATGCAAGTTAACTCAAAACTAGTATGGGACTGCTTAGAAACCCTAAATGCACTGGGCAGTCAGAACAGATTGACTCTAGCATGGGTACCAGCACATACAGGGTACGAGGTCAATGAAGAGGCAGACTCACTTGCCCGAGCAGGAGCAAAAAAAGCTCTTAATGGCCCAGAACCCTTCTGTGGTATTGCGAAAGCTATACAAAAGACTAGTATCAAATCATGGATGCGAACCAAATCTCAAGAATGGTGGAATAACTCGCCAGGAATGAGACAGGCTAAAGAGTTTATTAAAAAACCATCGCCAACATTCACAGAATATCTACTAAGCCAGAAACGAAGTTCAACTAGAATACTAGTGGGACTCACAGGGCATTGTAGGCTCAACAAACACATGGACATGAGTACGATAGGTCTGACTGAAGAACTGCTGTGCAGGTTCTTTCAAGAAGAGGAAGAAACAGCAGTACACATACTTTGCCACTGTGAGGGCCTGTCAAGACTAAGGTTCCTTACGCTGGGTGAGGAAAAACCAGGAGCCCAGAGATACACAGGAGATCTGAAAGCTAGCCTATGGAGTCTCATAGAGAAGGCGGGGCTAGCCGAAGAACTCTAATCGATTTTGAGGGCAGACACAATAGATCTGAAAAGGTCGCAGTGTGGAGGCAGATAGCCCGAAGGCCCCATTTCAAATCTAATCTAATCTAATCATTTTGTGAACTCCTCGAGTGAAAATTGATGAGATCGGTAAATTTTTTGGGGTATCACCATCAGTGAAATTTGATAAAATATTCCTTGTCATCCTGAGCTCAAGGGTAGGTATTTCAAGACCTTGATGATTTATTCTTTATCATGCATTTGTGATGAAATAACTATACTATTATTAAATACTGTCTGTAGGTTAATCGAGGAGGTGGTATATTCATTATTCCAAATTTTTTGGGATTTTCTCTCCTCGTTTCTATAGAATAAAAATATGAATATTATTTCAATATACTTGTAGTAAGGACAAATCAGATGATTTGCCCCAAAATGTCACTGCGTTTAAAGAATTTTCCTATCAGAACCGGTCCCGAAACGTCCAAAGATAAGTGAAAATTTGATATTTTTTCTATATACCTTTATTTCCCTTCTCCAAAAATTTTTTCAATACAAATTGTCACTGACAAGCTAGTGAATTTTTCTTTTAGGCTCTCTGATAGGAAAATTCTTTAAACGCAGTGACATTTTGGGGCAAATCATCTGATTTGTCCTTACTACACGTATATTGAAATAATATTCATATTTTTATTTTATAGAAACGAGGAGAGAAAATCCCAAAAAATTTGGAATAATGAATATACTATTATTGACAATAAATAACGCCCTGTATATGATATCAACATGAAAATTTGATCACATGTATTTGAGGGAGTTCTCAACATGTTGAGAACATCAGTTTTCCGCTGAAAAAATTCCTGATATTACTAACTGATTTTAGGCATTTTCAATTTATCATAGTTGGCCGTGTCATAGTGCAATCAGAGTGTTGGATACTCAGAAATGTAGAACTCATTGGGAAGTACATATTGAAACACAAAATTCTCGAAATCTGTCAGCGATTAAGAAAATACCAAGGTGGTGCTGCTCAAAGTGGGACACACAAATTCCAAAATAATTTCGAGATATTGACTTGTAGATTTGATTTGCATAAGGATACAAAAAATTCCTGGAGAATACGGGATCTCTTCAAATTCGACGAAAATTCGAGGGGTCCACTCAATTCTTTGAGCATTTTAGTTCGCTCATCATACTAACTTTGTACCGGGTGATTCATTGAGGGTGACGAGGTACTATATTTCAGGAACTAATAGTCGTAGAAGTTTGAGGAAAAAATCCTTCAGAGGAAATCGACCAGGAAAAATTGCTGGAAATATTTCCTAAACTCATAGTCGTACCGTTAGGGGGCGTAATAGCTTCGATCGTATGAATAATAGATTATTTTTCGAAAATTTTCCTATATAAGTTCAAAATTTAATACACTCACGTGAATGCCACCATAATAGTCCATCTTTTTGATCAGCATTATTTCATTGAAGGACGTTAAATGAAGGCGGTAGAAGATCCTAAACTTTTTGGACTGTAAATGTTGATAGCTTAAGGACTTAACGGACTTTTGCTAACAAGGTCTGGTTCAGTAGAGGAAGGTTTGGTGAATATAATAAGAAACCATCCATGTCATCCTGGTTCTTGCCGCCCTCGCAAGGGGGCGTGTTTCATAAAGTTAGCCGTCCATTGAAGTTTTCTCCGAAATCTTGAAATGGAACCATATGATTATTTTATTAGATTCGGAAAGTAGACGTAGAATTTATTGGAACTTCTCATTCCCCACCCTCAGACAAATACAAGCTAATAAGCCTGACGTAGTCCTTCTCGACCATCAAACCAAAGCGATGTTCGTGATCGAGTTTTCGGCGCCAGCCAAACCGAACATCGTTTTGAAGGAGGAGGAGAAACGGACTAAATATCGAGATCTTCTCTTCGAACTCCGCAGGTTCTATCCAGGCCATTCTGTGGAATTGGTCATCCTGATAATCGGCTCCCTAGGAGGCACACGACACACGCTGCTCTCGGAAATCCAGAATATCCCAGCATGCAGCGATAAGGCACACATCCTGGCTGGTGCAATGCAGAAGGCCTTCATTTGGATCATTGCGTTCACTCAGGGCACACGGTTCTTGGTCCCAGTGATTATTCACCTCACAGGCTGTGGGGAGTAGTCACTGGATTTTATCCAGCACGACTCTGCAGTCTGCTTGGCGTCGGAGGCCGCAGGGTCGTGACTGGAATGACATAAATTCAAATCATAATAATAATAATAATAATAATCGGCGCCAGCCGAACCGAACATCGTTTTGAAGGAGGAGGAGAAACGGACTAAATATCGAGATCTTATCTTCGAACTCCGCAGGCTCTATCCAGACCATTCTGTGGAATTGGTCATCCTGATAATCGGCTCCCTAGGAGGCACACGACACACGCTGCTCTCGGAAATCCAGAAAATCCCATCGTGCAGCGATAAGGCACACATCCTGGCTGGTGGAATGCAGAAGGCCGTCATACTCGGATCATTGCGTTTACTCAGGGTACACGGTTCTTGGTCCCAGTGATTATTCACCTCACAGGCTGTGGGGGGTAGTAACTGGATTTTATCCAGCACGGCTCTGCGTGGCTTCGGAGGCCACAGGGTCGTGACTGGAATAATATGAATTTAAATAATAATAATAATCATAATAACATGATACCTATACTTATGTCTCATAAAAACTTATATGCATATGATATGAAAATTTGTTGAAAAGTGCATTTCCTGCGCTCGTTTCGTTTTCGCACTCTCGCAAAATATGTCCCTTTCCACACTAGTTATGTAATTTAGTATTTTCTGTGTAGACATTTGTATAACGAGGTTATCCTCGGTGAATTTTCTAGAGGCCAGAAGCGGTAAGAAAATAACATTACCCGACTTTATAAGGAAGCGGAATGAAGCGAGGAAATTCATAGGGAGAGAAGACTTTCCTTGGGCGGTGTCCGTGCACATGACTAGATTCAAAGATGAGCCTTGGAGCGATCGTTTCCTCTCTTTTGGCGTCATCATCTCAAGAACTTTCGGTAAGTGAGGCGACTACAGAATTTTTCCTGCGGAAGTATAGGGTGGCTTAGAGGGCTCTGTTATCAAACAGCGCTAGACAAAATGGCGCTCGACAAAATAGCGTGGGACAAAAAAGCGCTAGGACATTTCACAGAGGGTCAAAATCGCGAGGTTTTAAACAGCGCCCAGACTTTTGGTAATAGCGCCCAAAACGTCAGAACGAATTGTCACGTCACGATGAATCTTTCTCGTTCAGAAAAAGGAGGTGCTATTTTTATCCATGAAGGATACAGATACAGAAAAGACAAAGTGCATCTCACTTCCACTACCTGGAGATGTACGGAGAAATATTGTAAAGGTAGATTGATAGTTTGCGGCGACTCCAAAAAACCGACAACGTCCCATAGTCATGGTCCGAATGATGCTAAAAACGAAGTTTTTGGAATTATGGAAAATGTTAAGAACATGGCAAGGACGACGAAAGATGGTCCGAGGAAAATTTTACAAGCCAGCACTAGCGCCAAGTATCGATGGAAGCATCAGTACTATTACCAAATTATGATGCTGCGAGAAAAACAATTCAAAGAGTGAGAAACAAGGAGCTTTTGGTCAAAGAAGAAAGGTGAAGAGTTTCTGTTGTGGGATTCAGGAACAGAAGATGTGAACAGAATTATTGTTTTCGCTACTTATGGAAATATCTTCCTTTTGAATTTAGAAACTGGTGTTTGGATGGCACTTTCAGTGTAGCACCGAAATATTTTTGCCAGTTATTCACTATTCACTCCATGATAGACGGAAAAGCTATTCGTCTAATATATGCTTTGCTGCCTAACAAACAACAATCAAGTTATGAGAGACTTTTCGGAAAACTACTAGAGATAGATCCAACGTTGAAACCAAGTAGTGTAATCTGTGACTTCGAGAATGCGGTTCTCAACACAATAAATAATCAATTTCCTGATACCAAAATAGTAGGCTGCAATTTTCGTTTTGCACAAAATCTATGGAAGCATATCCAATCTAATCAATTAACAAAGCTATACAAAGATGATGAGGAAATAAGGATCCAATGTAAAATGCTTTTAGCCTTGAGTTATGTTCCAGAACAAGACGTCCAGTTTGCATTCGAAGTTATCGTTGCCAGCTTTCCAGCGGTATTAAAGCCAATTATCGACTACTTCGAAGACAACTACGTTGGCCGTAGTCTGCATGATATACCCCCAAGATTTCCGATTGAGATGTGGAACCTATACGAGAGAATCAACACTGACTTACCCAGGAGCAACAATTCGGTGGAAGCATGGCATAATTCATTTCAAAAAACTCTTCAATGCCACCATCCTTCGCATTCCAAGTTATTCGACAAAATCAGGAAGGAACAGAGCCACTTTGAAATATTCATCACGAGGTACCGCGCAGGATATAGGGCAAACGAAAAATCCAATTGCAAATATTTTCAATTGAGAAAGAGATTACAAGTACTAGTTGCCCAATACAGATTTGGTGGTGTTCTAAACTCTTTACGTTGTATTGCGTACAATTCATCTTTGTAGTTAGGTTACTAGTCGATGTTAATAGAGTTTTTTGGATTTGAATAAAGTTGAGCAAGTTTATTATTCACTACTGATTTTACTTTTCTATGAAGTGCGCTTCCATTATCAGTACGCCACTATTAGCACAAACACGCATTATTATGACGCGCTATTTCAGTCGGCGCTATTATGTCGCGGCGCTGTTTGCTATTGGCGCTATTTTGTCACGCGCTATTTGTTCCGCGCTATTTTGTCGCTCGCTATTTTGTCTAGCGCTGTTTGATAACAGAGCCGGCTTAGAGAGGCCATCAAGTTAAGTTTATTCAAATTACGAGTTGTAACACGAAATTCCGAGTTGTAAGTTGGAATTCCGAGTTGTTGTTCAGAATTCTAAGTTGTTAGTACGAAATCCGAGTTGTGAGTCAGAATAATTTCGTGTGAGCTGTTTAATTGGCTATCTATCTATCGTTGCCAGTGATTCCAATAGACGGATGATTTACCAAAAGAAGTCCATATTGGTCCAATAATTGGAGGGTGGAACTGAGGACCAAAATGGTATATTGAAGTATAAGTGGATATTGTCGGTATATTGAGTTCTTTAATACACGCGCTATTGTTCGAAATAAAGCAAGTGTTTCAAAGGGGACCATGTCACTTGATAAAATATTATATTAGGCATCTGCAGCACGTTAAATGGGCATGGCTTAGCTGCGTGGAAGGAAAACATTAGAATTGAGTGCATGGGTTTATATGGCAAAAATGTGTTTCAAAATCCTTTCCCAAGTTTTGTAGTGCTGATTTTATTGAATTCAGAAAAAACTATGAAGCTTGACCATTATGAAGCCTTGCAGAAAGTCCATGAACGTAGATATTTAGAAATATCCATTTAGACAAAAGGAATATCATACCTAGAATAGGTAGGTCTGGAGCCCAAAAGAAGTTCTCATTGAGTTTCATTGAAGAACTTTGGCTAGCAAAGAACCTGAAAGCCATGAACTTTTTCTTCTAAATAGTACGTATTGATTCCAGAATTGTTGGGCAAATATCAATCAATCAATCAATCAAAAATATACTTTATTGTCAAAGAAACACATTCTTGTTGACAAAGCATGATAAATGAATAAATATAATGAATGAAGTGAAATGAAAAATTTCACAGTCAAGGTTGAGGTTGAACTCGTTGGAATACAGATACATAGACAATTTAAATGATCAATACTTGAAATAAATAAATAAGTAAAGTGTATAGACTGGTGTATAACATGAAGGTACATAAATTATTGAATGGATCCACATGCACTCATATTGAAATATATCTCTGTACAAGAACCGGTGAATACAAAAGTTTGTAGATATGGACGTACAGCATAAATCGACATACTTATAACAGAACATAACATATACAGGCTGATCCACGGTGGATGGCCTATTAGAAGTATCTGGAGATCGAAAAAACAGAACATTCTGAAAATTTGTATGTATAATTGAACATTCTCTATCCGTCTAAAATATTTTCATCGATACAGTGTTGCCACTTCTATCAGAAACAACTAGCAACTTTCTTATTTCAAATGGAACACCCTGTATTTTATTGCATTTTTAGATTTTTCCTGAAGAGCTGAGCGAAAGAGGATTTATTCTTCATTATCAAACATACTGATTCCAGGATGAACATGGAAATTACTGTTAAGATACCATGTGCCTTGAATACTGGTTTGCAGGTATCCCTCACTTTTGCCTTGCAAATATACCGTATAGCTCTTTTTTGAAGAACATAAATCATATCCAAATGCTCTCTTGATCAAACTCCCCAGAAAGCAATGCCATATCTTATATGGCCGAGAATATGGCAGTCTACTAATGCAAAGTAGGCTTTTCTTGATTGGGAATATCCCAACTTGTCAGAAATGATTCTCAGAGCATAACAACCTGAAGCTACTTTTTTACTCAACTTCACTACATGGTCTCTGAATTTCAATTTATCATCTACAGTAAGGCCAAGAAATGTGGAATTGTTTTTCATATTTATCAAATCACTTCCTAGCCAAATGTCAGGTAGTGTACATCTGGAAGTGAGAATACTCGTTTCGCCTATATTGAAGGAGAGTTGGTTAGAATCACACCATTCTTTTATTATTTCGATGTCATGAGAAATTGAATTATGCAAATCATCTAACTTTCTATTGTGCCACAAGATCGTAGTGTCGTCTGCAAAGAGAGTCAAGGTGCCTATTATATTCACAACGGTTAGATCGTTTATATATAGCAGGAACAGAGTTGGGCCAAGTACTGAACCTTGAGGGACTCCGCATCTGAGGGCTCGCTCAGATGAATACTTTATAGTTTTTACAATTTGGTTACGATCTAATAAGTATGATTGAAACCAACTGAGAGTGTTATCTCTGAAACCATAGGGTGAAGTTTTCGTAAAAGAATGCCATGGTTGACACAGTCAAAGGCTTTAGATAGGTCACAGAAGACTACAGCAACTGAGTCTTTATTGGTTTCAGCGTATACTTTCTGAAATAGGGAAAACATAGCATCACTGGTGGTTTTGTTGGTTTGAAAACCGAATTGGTGGGGACTCAAAATATCATTATGGTTACAAAATGTCACTATCCTATTCTTCACTAGTTTTTCAATGATATTTGCTAATGTTGGAATAAGGGAAATGGGTCGAAAATTGGAAGGATCATCCAAATCGCCACCCTTATGGAGAGAAATTACGACGGATGTCTTCAAAAAGTTTGGAAACTCACCGATCTCGAAGGAGTTATTAATTAACTGTGTTAATGTGACTTTAGCAGAATGCGGAAGATTTTCAAAAATTTTTATGGAGAGTTCATCAATACCACGGCTATTTCTGTTTTTTATATCCTTGCCCAGCGAGCACAAAAACATCTCAGAGATGTTAAAAGTACGAGATTTCGAGACATTGAACCTCCACTGCGATGTTCTGTTCACACATGAATAGAACTATTATAGAACAGCCAATGTCCGCCGCAGGCGGCAATAATTATCGAGATGTCCTTGATATGTCACAAAACTACCTTCTCCCTAGTTCTTTTTGGAGCCTTTTCATGGACACAACAGAACATTTTCAACACGTCTTGCGCACATTAAATCGCTGTAAAGAAACCATTTTTGAGGTACTTTTCTGAAGCCTTTTGTCAAAATGAACTTTTGCATTAGGATTCCATTTCCCTTGATGAAAAAATGCATTAAAAATAGATTGAACATAAAAATATTTTCTTGATATGAAATTACCTTCTCAATCGGTTTCTGAGTAGTGCTTACTACACACAGACATATAATTGGAAATAGGTTTCCCAATTTTTTAAATTTTCTCCACAATGCATAATTTTGCATTGTTTATTGATGAATTCGTACTTTTATATATTGATTACACTGAGGCACCGAACAACACATCTTGCATCTGGTGGTCATTATTACAAACTAAATAAGTCTTCTAAAAACTTCACCAAATT